ATCTACTTCTGTAGTGATACCGCCTCGGAAACCCAAGGAGGGGTCGCTATGAGTTGGGTCCGACTTGACAGCAGTGAGTTTGGTTTGGTTTGATATTATAACCAGAACTCCAAAACATTGTTGTTTGTTGCTGTTGAGCTGGCTCTAATTCATGCTGACGTTATGTATAACAGAACGAAAGCGTACCCAGTCTGCACCTTCCTCACAATCTTTGGTATGTTTGAGTCTATAGTTGCAGATATGAAGCAGTCAACACATCTCACTGAGATCTTCTTTGTTTTTGCTGACCGTCTACTTTACCAAACATGATATCCATTTCCAGCAATTAATCTTCCTGATGACATCCCAAAGTAAGCAAGCCAAAGTGCCGACATCTTGCTTCTAAGAAGCATTCTCACTAGACCAAATTGTACAGTTTTTTGACAATCCATAGTAGATTCAATATTCTTCACCAACACCACAATCCAAATGTGTCAATTCTTCTTAGTATTCCTTTTTCATTGTCTACCTTTTGCTTGATATGAGGTGATTAAAAAGACCATTACCTTGGGTCAGGCACTGTTCTTGTACAAAAACTAAAATGTGGCTTTGTCTTAAATAAATTTAAATCTATTTGGTGAGCGATACTCTTCATTCTTATGGCTTTTAACTCTCACCTGTCTGCTGAATCACTCTTCCAGTAAATATTCCACTGTGTTTACTGTGTGCCAGCTACTATGATAAGATTCCCTGGCCAGACCTTTACAACTTTATCAGCACATAAAGTAGTCTTTCTCCACCAGATAGCCATATGTTTTCCTGCATTATCCTCCCAATTAATCAGAGACAAGAAAGACTGTCACATCCCAGTTAAATATTTTATCTACACATTGCAGTTTGAGAAAAGATTTATAGTGTGATTTGATCATAATGCATAGTCTTCTCAATCTGGGTGTTCCCTGTGTGTCATAAAGCAAGTTCTTGACAATAAATATTGGAGGCACCTTTTGAAGACAAAGTACCTTGGCTATTATTTCATAGAACTTCCACCCCTCTTTGTGGAGACTATGATCTTGGTGGGAATCAACTGGGAACAGCCATGTACCTGAATGTTGTTATCATTGTTGTTAGGTGCCATTGTGTCAGCTCTCATTCATAGCAACCCTATATACAACAGAACGAAACACTGCCCAGTCCTGTGCCATCCTCAATCCTTGCTTTGCTTGAGCCCATCACTGCAGCCACTGTGTCAATCCATCTCATTGAGGGTCTTCTCCTTCTACTTTACCAAGCACAATATCCTTCTTCAGGGACTAGTTCCTTCCGATAGCATGACTAAAGTACAGGGGATGAAGTCTGGCCATTTTTACTTCTAAATTGCGTTGCAGCTATATGTCTTCCAGAACAGACTTTTTTTTTTTTTTTTTTTTTTTTTTTTTTTGCTTCTTCTGGCAGTCCATGGTACGTTGAGTGTTCTTCACCAACACCATGATTCAAAGACATCAATTCTTCTTCAGTCTTCCTTATTCATTGTCCAGCATTCACATGGCTTATGAGGTGATTGAAATATCATTGCTTGGGTCAGGCCCAACTTACTCTTCAAAGTAACATATTTGCTCTTTAACACTTTACAGAGGTCTTCGGCAACAGATTTATCCAATGCAATATGTCATTGTCTGATTCTTTGACGTCTGCTTCATGTCTGGATAATAAAAATAAAAAACTCACTGCCATCAAGTCGATTCTGACTTATAGTGACCTCATTTGGGTTTCCAAGGCAATAAATCTTTACGAAAGTAGATTGCCCAATCTTCCTTCCACAGAGTGGCTGGTGGCTTTGAACTGCCAACCTTCTGGTTAGCAGTCAAATGCCTTAGGCACTACACCACCAGAGACAAGATTAATCAGGAAGGGAGCAAAGCAAGGCAGAGTTAAATAGATAAGTTAGGAAGATCTGAAATGACATGTGAAGCAGAATTACCTGTTGCCTGCTATCAGAATTACCTTTAAAACTTTTACACACCCATGACCTACCCTACACTAGTATGCAAAATAGGAATAATAGTAATAAAAATATCTACCACAGACTTTTCCTATGGAACAATGAGATAATGTCCACAGTACTATTTTTTTAAGAGTAAGTATAATTACTATTAAGTGCAAACAGACTTCAAGTACAAAATGAACCTTGTTTAGGATGGTTATCATGAAATCAGCAAAAAAATAATCTCGCTGATGAGAAGAAAGAGGGATCAAAGGAATGACCATTGGCAGAAGGGGGGGGGGCATCTGAGAAAGAACCTTTTATCCCTCTTCCTTGATGTTTTCAATTCCCCAGTATCAACACTAGTCCAAGAATCTTATATTAAGTAACTTGGACCAGGCAGCTCAAATCAGGAGAGGTATGATAAAATACTTTCTCAACTGGTATCTTCAATACATAAATATATTTTATAACTGATATGACACCAGTCATAATGATATAATTGATAAAGTCATCATATCATTATATTGTTATGACTGGTATCTACATTATATCTAACCAATATAGTGAGGTGTTTAATACTTTTTTGTTTCATTTCCACAGGCACTGACCTTCTGAATTTAGTCTTAAAAAATGAATCCGGTTATTTCACAGCCAACATATGGCACAGGGCGAGTGGCTGTTAGTGACTGGCAAACTGGCGTATTTGACTGCTGTGATAACATCGGGATTTGTAAGTGCACATAGTGATTTGCTTTCTACTTTATTCTAATAATGCAAATTTCCAACATCAAAAATAGTATTTTTCCTTGTGTTGATTTTTTTTTATTTTATTTTGATTTGGGTGAAGATTTACAGAGCAAATTCACTTTCCATACAGCAGTTCACATTACTTTGTCTCATGTCATTGACCACA